CCGCAGGTGCTGGTGCGCACAGCCATCCGCTGTGCACAAGCCCAGACTGGCATTGACTTGAGCACCTGCACCAAATGGTGAGTGGCCTTCCCCTTGTGGCCAGCTCGCTGTGGGGTGTCAGGAGTCTGGCTTCTGCCCTCTGGGTTCTCTCCTGCCAAAGCTCATGCCTGCCTACCCCTAACTTCTCATAGACGACTGAGTGCCCAAGGCTGAGAGTGCTGAGGGCAGCTCACCCCCAAGCCACGCCCAGTACTCCTGAATGCCTAGTGCTCCTATGTGCTGTCTGCTTACCTCGCCTCCCTGTTGCCTAACCACTAAGGCTTGGCATGTGGTTTTATGTTTGTACTCATGGCTTGGCATGCAGCATGTGCGCATGGAGTGCTGATTGGAACAGAGGTATTTGTCTGTGAGTGGGACCCCGTGAATGTCACAGTTGGGGACTTTTTCTTTTGCTGTGAACAGGTGGCGATTTGCAGAGTTTCAGTACTTACAGCCGGGACCACCCCGGCGGTTACACACAGTAGTGGTGTACCTGCCAGACGTGTGGAGCATCATGCCCACTTTGGAGGAATGGGAGGCACTGTGCCAGCAGAAAGCCACAGAGGCAGTGACCCAACCCCAGGAGACATTGGGGGTAAGGCTGGGCCTTAGGGAAATTCAGGAAGCTGGGCATGGTGGTATAAGCCTCTAACTCTAGCACTGGGGAGGTGGAGGCAGGGAGATCCAGAGGACAAAGTTGTTCTCATCTTTATAGTGAATTTGAGGTTAGCCTTAGCTACATGAGCTATCTCAAAAGTAGGCGCCTTGATCTCAGGGTCCAGAAGTTCACACCTGAGCTATTGTCACAGGAAACAGAGCCCACTGAACAGGCCCCTGATGCATCAGAGCAAGCAGACACTTCTAAACAGAACATAGAGACTTCAGAGGCCACCGCACAACAAGACGTGGACACTGATGTCCCAGAGGCTCCTCCACCTCCTCTAGAGCCTGCTGTGATGGCACGTCCTGGCTGTGTCAACCTGTCTCTCCATGGGATTCTGGAGGATCGGAGGCCAAAAGAAAGGATCTCTTTCGAGGCAAGTGCAGGAGAGGCCATGAGTGTGATGACAGGGTCACGCATCCTCGTCCTTTCCCTGACGCCATGGTCCCTGCACCTCTTCCAACAGGTAATGGTGCTGGCCGAGCTGTTTCTAGAAATGCTGCAGAGGGACTTTGGCTATAGGATTTATAAGATGCTGCTGAGCCTTCCAGAAAAAGTTGTATCTCCCCCTGAACCTGAGAAGGAGGAGGCAACCAAGGAGGATGTGGTCAAAGAGGAGGTGGCGAAGGCGTCCAAGGACGAGGTACAGAATGAGGGCACAGCTGCCGAGTCAGACAACCCCCTGGTGAGTACCGTTCTCAGCCTTGGGTGGCCTGAGGCCCACACATTACAAGGCTTAGTGTGACTTGGCCCCTCGTGTGTCAGGCATCATTCTGGGCACTGCTCACTTCCAGTTGCTTTGCTCCTTTATGTTACCCATTCTTTGAAAGTTGGGGATGGGTTGAGGCTCAGAAAGGTGAAACCCTGCATGTGGCCACAGAGCTAGGAAGTGGTGGCATAACCAGAGTGAGGGAAGTGGCCCAGAAGAGGGAGGGAAGTGTGGCTGATAAGCCATGGCAGCATAGAAATGCCAGCCAGACTGCTTAGGGTTGGCTGATTAGGTGGACAAACTGGTCTTTAACCATCTCTAAAATGTAGCTTGGCTTCTTATCCAGATAATTGCTTCCAGAACAAAGGCTGACTGCTGAGAAATGCCCCAGGGATCTAGATGTGCCCCTGAGATCTGAATCCTGCCATGGTTCAGTACCCATGAGCACATGGTGGATCACACAGCACCCAGCATACAGTTGATGCCTGAGTGTTAGCAACTGCTGCTGTTAGCATCACAAGATTCCTGCCTCTCCCTCATCACCTTGGTCTGCTTCTCTAGAAGGAGGATGGGCTTCTGCCCAAACGGCCCTCTTCAGGGGGAGAAGAGGAGGAAAAGCCCCGGGGTGAGGCAGCTGATGACCTCTGTGAGATGGCCTTGGACCCAGACCTGCTGCTTCTGAGGGATGATGGAGAGGAGGAGTTTGGTGTGTCTGGGGGCAGTGGCTCTCTGGGGCTGGCTGTGGTAGTTCCCTTTTAGGCAGTGGTTCTCAGGCCTCCTAATGCTACGATCCTTTAATACAGTTCCTCATGTTGTGGTGACCCCCCAACCATAAAATTATTTTCATTGCTACTTCATAACTAGTTTTGCTACTGTTATGAATCGTAAATATCTGTGTTTTCCAATGGTCTTAGGCGACCTCTGTGAAAGGGTCGTTCAACCCTCCAAAGGGGTTGCGACCCACAGGTTGAGAACCACTGCTCTTAGGAGTGTAGACCATCATCCTTGCTACATGTTGAGCTTGGGATTTCTGTAGCAGGAGCAAAGCTGGAGGAAACGGAGGTTCGCTCTGTGGCCTCAAACCAGTCAGAGATGGAATATTCATCTCTTCAGGACATGGTGAGACCCCATCTCCTTCCGTGCCTTGTGCTGGCAAGTCTGGCTCTTGTTGGGTGAGGGATGCCTACCAGTGACCTCTTCCCTAAACAAGAGACCAACTGTGGGTCTTGACTCAGGGGAGGGCACTTCACTCTCTCTGTCAGGGTGGGTCACAGAGGGGTCTGATCAGGGAACATACCATCTTCTGGGAATGTGCCCACAGCCCTGGTCTCTATTATGAGGTCTACCTGTTGCTGCCAGCCTAGCTCCTGGCTATGAGAGGCTGTGTATGTACCGTGCCTGTAGCCTTGAGAACTGTCTGTAAAGCCTGTTTCTCTGCTTTCTTTGCAGCCTAAAGAGCTGGATCCCTCAGCTGTGCTGCCCCTGGACTGCCTTCTGGCTTTTGTGTTTTTTGATGCCAACTGGTGTGGCTACTTGCACCGGCGAGACTTGGAGCGGGCCCTCCTCACACTGGGGATCCGGCTCAGTGCTGAGCAGGTAGTTACTGACCCACCTGTCCTGGAGGGCCTTTCCAGAGCTCTTGCTGGCTTCTGGTCTCCCTGAGGCAAGTGTGTGGCCAGTAGGTGACCTGCTGTGTTTTCTGTAGGCCAAGCAGCTGGTTAGTAGGGTGGTAACACAGAGCATCTGCCAGTACCGGAGTCTTCAGTATAGCCGCACTGATGCGCTGGATGACGGGCTTCCGGAAGAGGTGCTCTTTGGTATGTCTTGGGCTCTGTGGCCTGTAGGGAGTCCATGGTGGGCTACTCTCTCCTAAGATCATGGATGTCTCCTCTAGGAAACCTAGATCTACTGCCCCCTTCGGGGAAGAACACAAAGCCAGGGGCTGCCCCCACCGAGCACAAAGGCCTGGTGCCACACAATGGCAGTCTCATCAACGTGGGGAGTCTGCTACAGCGTGCAGAGCAGCAAGACAGCGGCCGCCTATACCTGGAGAACAAGATTCACACACTGGAACTGAAGCTTGGTGAGTGCAGGGCAGGTGGCACAGGGACTGAGGGGACGCCACCCCTTAGGCCTCCGGCTTTTGTTTCACGCTCCAGTCAACTGAGCAGACCCTTTCGGCCATGGCCTCCCTTACCTTTCAGAGGAGAGCCATAACCGTTTCTCAGCCACTGAAGTGACGAATAAGACACTGGCGGCAGAGATGCAGGAGTTGCGGACCCGGCTGGTGGAGGCAGAGGAGACAGCCCGGACAGCGGAACGACAGAAGAACCAGCTTCAGCGGCAGCTGCAGGACTTCCGCAGGCGCCTGACCCCACTGCACCTTGAGATGCAGCGGATGGTTGAAAAGGTAGGATGGCTGAACCAGTTCCTTTTGGTTCAGAGCAGAGCTAGCTTCTGTGTGGAGAGGCCTGGGAGGTAGCTGGTCCTTCCTCGCCGTGGTGGCCCCTCATCCACTGGGACGTTAGGAGACTCTGTACTCTACTGACAGGATGTGGGGAGAAGCCTCATCCTCACCGTTGTTACATCCTCACAGGCTGACAGCTGGGTAGAGAAAGAGGAGCCAGCACCTAGCAACTGAGTGGCTGTCTAGTGAGGTCTGCGATGGAGCCTGATGACATTAGAGCCTTTTTGGTACCAGAAAGCAGCTGGAGCAGGGCCTGGGAGCCACAGCAGAGGTGGCTGAGTTCTGTGCTCGGCCTCTGCAGGGGTGATCAAGCTATCAGAATGGGGTTTGTGCTATGTGGATGGATGTGTAAGAAACCCCAGTTCCAGCTACAACTAAATACAACATCTTTTGCACCCCTAGAATGTCATTTTGCCCTCAACCTTGGAAATTTCTCCCAGGGCCCTTGTAGTCTTGTGCTGTCTCCTGTCCTCGTCCACTTTAGAGCAAGACAGGAGGAAAAGGCTTTTCCAGCCCGGAATAAGGTCTGATGCCAACAAATGCAAGGAACGGGTGTAGAGCCTGGCACAGCCAAGAATGTCCTCCTTCTAGACAGCACGAGTCCTGTAGGTGCCAGTATCCGTTAGGTGGTGGAGCCCATGCTAGGAACCACTTGGTGTTGGGTCAAGGGTGCCAATAGAACACTGTGTTCCAGCCACCCCCAACTTGCCAGAAGAACCAGCACTTCTTTCTCTAGCTCTTGTGTTCAGAATGTGGTATTGGCTCTGGCCCAGCCCTCTTCCGTTTCCCATAATTCTTGCCTCTTTCCATAATCCGTGGTTTCAGTTTGACTTTGTATATAAAGTTGTTTGTTGGTTTTTTTTTTTTTTTTGGCTTTTTGTTTTTTAAATAAACCAAAGTCAAAAACAAACCAAGTGTGTCCTTGTAACTCTCCTCTTTTTCCAAGCTGCCTGTGTTCTCCCTGCTTGCCAACCCTCAGTTCTCTCCAGAAGGCTCCAGAAGGCTCTAGAAGGCAGGCAGGCAGTGAGCTGCCACAGGCTGTGATTGAGTGAAGGCCTTCTGCCAAGTTGGCAGGGCTCTGGCAAAGCTGTGGTGACTCCTCCAAGATATCAGTTACAGCACACTGATATTTTACTGGAAACTTTACTTGAAAATAAAATTCCAACAACATAGGTGAGACGTAAGCCTTGCTTTGAGGCCTGGGGATCAACGGGTGACATTCTGTACAGTGGAGAGCTAGGAACAGAGTCCATCTACCAGGGAAAGCGAAATACCGGGGGCTTGTCCCTAGCTGGACCTGCAGGGGACCAGCTTTGGTCGGGTTGGCATGAGTGGCCTGCTGCAGCAGAGGGACCAGAGTTCTGCTCCGCAGGGCAGTGTCTCACCCAACAGTCTGAAGAATCACAAGGGGAGGGGATGGTGGGAGTCCTCTGGAGGTAGTCAGAGCTAAGGCCTCCTTCTAAAGGCTGAGGCTCCTGTTGGCCAGACACTGTAGCACACTCTGGACGGTTCTGGGAGTAAAAAGGCCCCTGGGTTTTTCTACCTTGCTTATTAGCATTGGGCAGGGGAAACAGCCTGCGACGACCCAAGGCAATGGAGACATTAAGTCAGAGGACTGGCAAGGCAGACTAGTGATCACCTGTCTCCACTGGGAGGCCCATGAGTCCATGCCTGCTAAGAGCAAAGACGGTAGAGATGTCATCTGTATCCCAAGGAGTCTGAGGACTCCTGAGGGACAGGCTCAGTCATCAGCCACAATGGAGAGGGCGCGGAGCTCACTTAGTTTGGCCTCGTTTTCCCGCTCTCGCTGCTCATCTGAGTGGCCTGGTTGGTCAAGCTGCTGGGTGAGGTCTCCAAAGATCTTATGCATTTCTGAGTAGTATACAACCTGCGGGAACAGGAGGCAAGAATTGCAGGAAGAAACCGGATTTCAGTGCTACATAGCACCCGCTCAGTGAAGCAGCCAGGAAGTGCAAGCAGGACCATGTTCCGGGGTCTGTGGGTTGCTTCTTGATGAAGGGGGTGGGAACGGGGGTCCTCATTTGCCCCATCACCACCTCCCAGATCTCACCCTATCACCTGCAGCCTAGGGATGGGCGAACCACAGCTGAGGCTTTGGAGAACATCTACTGTAGAGAAAAGTTTGTAGTAGGGGGGATATGGTTATGAAGGAAGTGCTGCCCTTTAAACGCCTGGCTCCCCCAAAATAGCTAGTATGGAAGGGGGACTGTGCATTTGAGGGTGGCCAAGGGCAGGCCTGGGTTTACTGCTTTCCTAAGCTGGGAGGGGCCAGGGGCTTTTGGTCATGGAAAAAGGACATGGCAGACATTGGTTCCACAAGCCTTGAGAGCTGGTTATAGAAGTCAAGGGAGGTGATAGCTTCCCAGACTCCACCCCTTCCCACTTCTGCTCATTCTCACAACCAGGTTAGGCTGCCTAGATGAAAAGCACCAGTGATGCGGTGTGAGTGACAGGGTGACAGGTTGGAGGCAGGTCTGAGAGAGGAGGAGTTCCTCCAGATGGTAGATAATGACTTCTACAGAGGCCATTTCTGCCTCAGTTTCCACTTCTTGACATGATAGAGCTCACTCATCCAAGCGTTCCACATCCTATTCTTCAAGCACCTCAAATTTGAGACTGTCTCTAGGATTCTCCTTCCATCTGAAAAACTGGAAGACGGTGACCCAGAGGGTGGCTGTGCAGCCAGTGGGAAGTGGGGTTCCAGGAAGTCTCTCCAGAAACCGCAGCTGGGTTCCACTGGGCCAAGTGCTGGGGGCCCCCATTTCTTGCCTGGGCCATGCCGCCTGGTGAGTCACCGGGATGCTCACTTCTCCAGTGACTAATAGGAGCAGCAGCCGGGTGGGTGAGGAGGATGCTGGCACAGGGGAGGAGGTAAACAACCCTGGATACCCTGCTGCTTGGTTACAGGGTTACCCCACTGCCTGGGCACCCTGCGGCTTCTTCTAAGGTTCTGGGGTGGAGATAGTGAACACACGTGTCACTGCAAGCGGAAACAGGTGCCATGGCTAACATCTCCCCTCTAAATTCACTCCTTATCCAAACCAAGGATGAACAGCTGGAAGGCGGTCCTCGCCGGCAGGGACAGCAGTAGAACACCCTCGCCCCCTTTTGTTGCCTCAGTCTCACTCCCTAGAGAGCACCAGACTGAAAACATGGGCCATTGGCAAGTCTTAGGCTCCAATACAAACCTTGCCTGGAATTCTTGATGTCAAGCATTCTAGCCCATGGCTTTGGGTGTCTTTCAAAAATGAAGGATGGGAAGTATGGATCGGGCGTCACTCAGGGCATTTGTGACTAAGGAAGCGAGAAGGAAATGATGTCCACTGGAGGGCACCAGAGGCCCAGGTAAGACAAGCAGGGCAGGCAGAGCTTGGGGGACAGGAAACCTTTAGCTTGGGGACCAGCGAGTACTGGGGTCCTGAATGGGAGCCAGCACCTGTGATCAGGGGGAGTCCATATGGAGAAGACCTTCCTGCTCCTGGCTCCGGTACCACTGCCTCTCCCACCTTGCCAGTGGGGAGAACAATCCTAGCTAAAATCTGCCTAAAGATGAATGGGGAAGGGAAGGCAGGAGGACCATTCCAGTTGGGTCCTCCATCGCAGTGGCAGGAGACACTGGGCGCTGGCCTATGTACTAACTCTGGCTGCCACTCCCATACCATCCTGCACTTCACTGTCTTTCCACTAGGGGGAGCACTATACCGCATGGCCAGCATCTCAGAGCTGGTCCAGGACCCTCCCTAGGAAGCTCAGTTAGGGCTCCTGTGGACTCCTGCTAATGGAAGTCTCCTGTCGGGTCCTTAGGCATTCACTCTACTGGCCTCCCAACCACCTCTGCAAAAGACCTGCCCAGCTAAAGTGGTGGCTAAAGATGCAGCCTGGGCTCTGCCTGCTTGAATGTAGGAAGAAGAACTCAAGGGGTTATGGGTTAAACAAAAAGGAACCTTGCCCATCACAGGGCTGGGATTAAGTGAATTTGGCAGTGGAGGATGCCCAAGAGAAATCCCAGCACAATATCAGTGCTGGGCACCAGGGCTGACTGGGGCACTGCATGAATTCTCACGCTGGGAGGTGCTGCTGTCTGTGTTCCTACAAAGATTATTTCCCAAGGGGAAAGCCTCTCCTCACCTGTGCCCGGATCAGGGACTCAAAGCTGGGCTGGAAGTAGTCAAGTCGGCTGCCATAGAACCGCGGCATCTCGTCCAGGAGCTGTTTGTTCTTGGCCTCAAAGTCTTCCCGTACAGGCCGAAGCTCTTCTCGGGCCTGGGGAACAAGACCCTGGTGTCAGGGCTGTCACTGAAGGGGGCAGGGTGTGGGAACAGCTAGTGTCCTGGGTCTGCTGGTCCCCAAGTGAGGCCAATGGCTGTTTACCGTGACTGCTGGTGCTCCCCTCCTGCCTTCTCCCTCTGTACCTGGTGGAGCTTGGCCAGCACTGGGCCAGTCTTCTCCTTTTCCTCGTACTTCTCCACCTTGGCCTGCAGCCTCCTGTAGTCTTGCAAGGCCTGCTCCCGCCGTTTCACTGCCATGTTGAGGCTCGGGAACACGCTGCCAAACCTGTTGGGCACAGCCTGGTTGGAAACAGGCTTGTCACGTGGGGTGTATCTGACAGTCACGACTTACTCCAAAACATGGATGACACACCTACTATGTGCCAGATCCATAAGGGCTCTGAAGCCGTGGGCCCTCGGCTGGGAGGATGACATGGGGGCAGCACACAGCACTGAGGGCTCTCCCTAGACCCCAATGGTGCCCTGTGAACAAGAATGCTTCTTGTCCTGTCTCCCTACACAGCCTGAGCCCCATCGCAGAGAATGGCAGGGCTGGGTTACTCCTGAATAGACTAAAAGAGAAAACGAAATAAACAGGCGGCAAGGCCACAACCAGGTATCGACAACCCAGAAGGGACCATGAGTGTCCAAGGTACTGGCGAGCAGTACCTTCCCTACCACAGCACAGTGCCACTGACAGGTGACGAAATGAGATGCTGGCTAAGGGTTCCTTCCCACGGCGGAGAAACACAAATGCTATGGTTCTCCCACTAAAAAAACAGAGGGAAAACCACATTTTAGGAAGATAGCCCAGGCCCCTCCTACCCAACACGACTGAAAAGGAGCATGGCGTGACCACTCACAGGACTGGTCCTTCAGAGAGGGATGAACTTCAAATGTTCTGGCATTTGAGTGTAACTATTGCCACTAGGGCCACTTTTCCCCCATGAAGGCCTATTTTATCTTGGACAGGCCCAAGAGAGCCACTTTTGGGGGCCCAGGCAAGAGTAAACATTAGTTGTGGATACAGATGGAGTTGGACCCTGCAAGTGAGAAAATGGGGTATGCAGAGCCTCGAGGGACCGTGGCTGACGTGGGCGCTGTACAAGGCTTTCCTACCATACCACAAGGTGCTCACAGTACCAGCCAGGAGCTCTGACAGCCTAGTATGGTATCAACAAGCAACCAAGAGATTCAGTGTCTCTAAGTTACTCAGTGGAGAGACACAGCTGGTGACCCAGGACCAGAAGAGTCAGTTTATCCGAGAGCAGCCCAGGGAGGGTGACAAAGCAGGCAAACAGAAGTCAGGGGGATGGGGATCTTCTCACTGGGACCCCAGTCAGTGGCCGAGAGCAGAGCTGAGAAGTCAGGGACACACTGATGACAGTAATGAATGCTCCTGCTGGAGAAGAGAGAGTGTAAGCCTGACCAGGCAACAGGGTGCCCCACACAAGCAACAGACTCAGGGAGCAGGTCACGGTGAAACAAAGGGCTTCATCAAAGGCCGCTGAAACCAGTTCCTGTGACTTAACCTTCTAAGCAGGCTCACTTTCCTGAAAACACTAATGAGCCAAGGCTATCAAAATTTCTCTGAAGCTGCAGGCACAGGGCCTTCTGTAGAGTAATCAAACCAAGACTTGACAAGGTGCCTTAACGGTGAGAAGACGTGAACCCATGGGGCTCTGCGCAGCACGGATGTGGGGACCAGGCACCACCAGGTCCCACCGGGAGGAGCCAGTCACATTGCCTAGGTCAAGGCAGCTGTGCCTGGCCTTTCAGCTGCTCCGGAGCCCCTCTCCCTTCCTGGGCAGCTGAGCAGTGTGTGGCCCAAGGGAACAGGTGCCCTGGGCCTGAGAACCTACCACCCTGCCCTCCCTCTATCCCAAGAGAACAAAGCACCCTAGCAGCCTGATCCGGCCGTCAGAAGTAGCCTGCTGCTTGGGTGGCCCCAGGGCCAGGGTCAGAGACAGGGTAAGAGTGAGGGACAGACAGGAGGCAGAGGTGGAGTTCTTTCCTGCCCAGGCCACACAATCTCTTTGCTCACTGGAACTCTCCTCTGGGGGCAGGGGGTAGGCATCACAAGAGACAAAGCACGTGTGAGGGGCATCCTGCAGGTGTGAAATAACTTCGGTGCAATGCTAGTTGGTCGTGTGGCCCTGGATACGTGCTAGTCTCGGCACAACTCGGACAGTAGCCCACAGCCAGTGCCTTTCCATTGCTGTCCTCTTCAAGACCAAGTCCCACACACCAGGAAGATTAATACCAATACTTCAAGACCTGGCCAGCTCATGAAGGACACACATTGCAAGTAGAGGTCAAAGTGCAGAGCTGGGAGACCAAGGCTACCACAGACCAGGGGTGTGTGGTGTCCACACATCACTACTTAATAGCATGGGTTCCTCCTCAGGAGCCCGCAGGAACCAAGACCACCGCCCTCTGCAGGTGCAATTGATCCTGCTGCCCTGCTGGAGGCGCCCGTCGCTGGTGACTTGCATGTCTTCCTCAGATCTGTCTCCTACAGCAGTGCTTCTCAGTCCAACTTTGAGAACCCGAGCTTGATTAGTAGCTCAGGCTATTGTACATGGGTCACCAACAAGGGGAAATCTGGGTAGCTTTGGACCTAGGACTGGGAGTCCCTGAGACAAGGGACAGGTGTCATGTTCTTCTCATCTGAGGGGGCTATTAATGTCACTCATAGGAAGGAGTGCCTAGCCTAAGGTGATGGAGGACAGAATTCCTGCTCACTGTCCCACCAAGCTTCACTTTCGCATTTCCTACTTTTCAGGCTAGGACAGATCTTGCCAGTGGCCAGACAGCAGGATCTACTCAAGAGGTGAACTACCTAGGGTGCTGGTGGAGACAGATACAGGCTGGTCCCCTGTGCTGGGACCTTCCCAGATATGCTCACGGGACCTCACAGGACTCCTGCTGACCTCTTGGCTCTCAAGGCACAAAACATACTTCTCTGGTCTGCTCTAAAGACACATGATGGAGAAGCCAGGTCCTCCGCTAGTCTCAGCTGCCCCTTGATAAATTAGTGGCAAGAGACCGGCCATATTCCGTTCCCTGGCCCTGCTCAAATCTTACATCCTCAAACACACTTAGTTCAACTAACCCTGCTTCAAGGGATTGACTCTACCACACCAAGGAATTGGACCTACTTGGGCCAGTGGGGGTGGCTGGGACACTGCCCCTGCTCAATATGGCAGCACACATACCCTGGGCTCACTTGCCCCAGTTCCCAGTCTGTAGGTGCTAGGACTGATTTATACTGATCATCAAAGATGGGGGGTGGGCCTAGGTCTGCACCAGGGCTTCAGGGAGCTCAACTTAGGAGGTACCCTTTTCTTGCCTGGCATAGGGTTCAACACCAAGCTTGCTCCCCAAGGAGGTAAAGCGTGGGGTGAGGAGAGAGTGGGGAGGGAAAGAGGCCGGCTGGGAGGTGGGCTGGGAGCAGCCGGCCTGGTGGGGAATGCCTGCCATTCTTCATCTGTGCCCACACAGCCGGGATCTTCCACCCACCAGGAAAGGGAAATTGAAAGCATCCCTATCCGACATGTGAACAACCCGGGGACTGGGGGATTAGAGACCGAGCCCTCCTGTGGGGGAGTACTGGGGGCCACAGGGTGACCATGATCTTCATTAGAGGACAGGAAAGCTGCAGTTTCCTGTTTCCGGTGCTGGGGTCCCTGGGAGCGTCTCTCCTGGCACATGGAAGCAAGTGGGGAGGAGGGAACAGGCAGTGGTGGTTTCTGTGGTCGTGGGGGATTGTATGCTGGTTGTGGGCTGCAGGAGCCAGCCAGGCCTGAGGCTCACACAGAGGTCAGCGGATCCATGGCGGAGATGGTGGCCGCCCCCTCCACCACGCCCCCACCTTCCTGGCAGGTGGTGGGCTGCTAGCATGGTGGGAAGCAGCCGGGGTTTCTCTCTACTTGGCTGCAGAAGCCAGGGATCCGATTTCAATGCCGCCTCGTTGGTTGTGAAATCGAGAAGGTAGTCAACCCCCTAGTTCTCTGAGCTGGCAGTGCTGCCAAACTCTGCCAACCCTGGGTGCCTGTGGCTGCCTCTGGGTCCCCTGTATTTCTGGCACAGCAGACTTCTCTGTGCCCAGAGGCTTGCCCCTCTGAGATCCTTCCACCCAGCTCTGAACCTGCCTTGGAGACCACACCAAATGAACGGCTCCTTCTGTACTCAGGTCCCCATGCGGGTCCTGTGGTTTGGGGATGGACTCTGACTAGGAGGCAGGGTTTTGAGAGCCCAAGCTGATGAGGCTGGGGTGGTGGGCACGGGCCAGGCTTGGCCTTACGGCCGCTGCAGGTGGTCTGCAGGGCCAGGCTTGGGAGGAAGTGCAGACAAGGCTAGGAGGGCTTTTCCTAAGCCCACACCCAGACCCGAACGGGGAAGGAATAACAGCACTCCCCAACACCCAAAGACTGTAGGATCAAAAACGGCTCTTCATCTCCCTCCAGCTTGACCTCGGTAATGAACATGAAGCAGAGGCTCATTGCCCAGCCCTGGCAAGGCAACTGCCAGGGACCACCGCAGAAGAGGTAATAAAGTACAGCTGCTGGTGCAGAGCAGCAGCCTTTCTAGGTCAGCGCAGGCTGGGAGAGGCCAGCCGAGAGGAAGCACTCAGGAGCTTCAAGGCAAGGTTTGGGCCAACCTCCTCCCCCGGGGACCAACAGGACAAGCCTGTCTGACCCTTGACCAGGGCCTGCAGGACCAAAGGCGGAGTCCCACAGAACTCCTTGCTCTCACAGGTCATGAGTGAGGGGACCTTCCCAAGCAGGATGCGGTGGCTGCTGCTACTGCTGTGCCCTTCCCCATGTGCGGCCACCCCCACGCTTCCAAAGCAGAGCACTGCAGGCAGCTGCATCCCAGGCCGGCTGTGAGATGAAAGGCCTTGCTCATGTCTGCTGAGTGCTGGCCGGGATCTCTGCTAGGTGAAATCAGCCAGCATGGGGCCTCACGGGACACAACCAGAGGCAAAGAGGAAGGGGCCGAAAGACCACCAGGGCAGTGTCTGGCACCAGACATAAGAAGCTCCCTTCCTCTCAGACTGACGAGGCAGTGCTGGTGTTCTGGAACAGCTGGGAGCCTCAACCATGGGACATGATGCATGGCTGGTGTCCCTGCTGTTCCTTGTCATGGGAAGCTGGGGACATGCTGGGGACATGCTCCTTGGTTTCCAAGTGGCTCACAGGTCAGTGTTTCCCACAAGTGCCCTGAGGCCCATTTCCTTGGATAAACTTACTTACTTTTTCAGGGGTTCAATCACTGTCTTTTGGATCTGGTTCACCTGTCAAAAGAAGTAGATGACATCTAAACTGGGAGATCTAGACTCTTCTCCAAGAGGAGGCCCCAGGTTCCTCAGAAGCCAGAATCCCGAGAGCTGGACAAGAGGGGGTTGGGGTGGGAGAGGAAACACAGTATCCATATTCTGCGGCCAGAGGAGGTGGAGAGGCCTAGGGCGGGGTCTGGTCTCAGGCCAGGCTTTTCCTGTCAGCTCTACTGGCATAGGTTTGTAATGGCTTTTACTCAGTGTGGAGGGATGGGTGGGCAGAGAGCCCTGTAGAGCACAGCTGCCATGAGCTCATCCTGGCTTCACTGTGGCCCCCAATGCAGGCCTCACAGAGGACACGTGGGCAACTGACCAGCCTGGTTTGGGAAAGCTGGAGCCCAGCATCACCACTTACAACCTATGGGCACTGCACCTATCTAGGTAGGGCCACGGGGAAAGGGGTGAGCACTGGCAACTGGCAGCAAGACCTAATCACCTTCTCCTGGTTGAAGGCATCCATGCGCTTCATAGCTGTGTCTAGGGCTGTCACCATGTCCAGAAAGTCCTGGTCCTGTTCACACAGCGGGTTGGAGAGTAGGTCCAGGGATATCTTCACAGCAGATTTGGACATGGCTGTTAAAGAGGTTAAAAGTTCTGTGAGGAAGGTGGACTGGGGGGGGGGGTGGTAGAATAGGGGGAAGTGGGAATCATAGATTAGAAGACAGATCAGGCACCATTGTGACCTCTAGTGATCTAAACGGATGACACCAATTGGCAAGCTAAGCAATAGTGGAGAGACCACCTCGAATGCCTATTCCTGATAGTGAACTTGATGTCTATAACCATCCTGGAGCCTTCATCCAGTGACTGATGGAAGCAGAGGCAAACACCCACAGTTAAATACTGAACAGAACCCAAGGAACCCAGCGACAGAGAGAGAGGAGTGAAGAGCAAATTGGCAAAGAATGGGCTGGCAAAACCAGCAGAGACAGCTGATCTGAACAGGGGAGAGCTCTTGGACCCCAGACCGACAGCTGGGAGGCCAGCATGGGACCGATCCAGACCCCCTGAATGTGAGAGTCAGTGAGGAGGCCTGGGCTACCTATGGGGTCCTGAGCAGTGGATCAGTGTTTATCCCTCGAATACTAACAGACATCGTGTGTCCATAACACAAAGAGGGTTGCTCTCTCTGCCTGGACTCTTAGGGAAGTGCCTGGACCCTACCCTGAGTGAAATGACAGACTCTAGATATCCCCTATGCGGAAGGAATTGGCAATAGGATGGGAGGATGGGGGGGTTGGTGGGGGTGTGTGGGAGGAGGGGGAGGGAGAGGGAACTGGGATTGACATGTAAAACAAGCTATTTAAAATTAAAAATAAATAAATAAATAAATAAATAAATAAATAAATAAAAGTTCTGTGAGTTTCCAGATGGTCTCCTTAGTGTTCCTTGACCTCCTCCGGCCTAGGGGTCTGACTGCCGGAACATTGAGGTTCTGAAAAGCCACGTGACATGCTCCTTGGTGTTTCCCACACTTCTTAGCCATAAAGTACTGTATCACCCAGAATACAAGAACCTGTATTGTAGGTGGGAAGCCCATTTGGACTCTCTCATGAACCCTACCGTACCCCCAAGGTAGCCCACTTATCAGGACTGGACAGCAGGTGAATGCTTGAGGTGCTGCAGGCTGTCCAGAAGTCACAGGCAACACCGAAGAGGATGGGAGCCTGTTGTTACCTTTGAGGCTCATGATCTAGGGCTCATTTTTAGCTTTCCATTATTTGCACATGACATTGTAGAGGGGTAGGCAGAGGGGAGGGCCTAGAGAAGGACCAGGCTGGCTCAACACTGTCCACACTGGTTTCTGAACACACCTGGCTGAGTATTAGAGCAGAAGACAAATTTTGCACATGATCTTGGCCAAAAGGCTGAGGAGCAATAGAAGATGGTGCTTTGTTACCGTTGTTTTAGACTGCACAGTGTGCTCAAGGCTAGGCTGGCCGTACTATGTAGCCCAGATGGGCCTCCAATCTGCAGTGATCCTCTGTCTCGGACATGCACTACCATACTTGGCTGGGATTTATTTTGTTTATTATTACTTGAGTGTTACAGCTTTAGGATGCTACTGATTTTAACTGTACTAATCACTAAGAAAGAAAAACAAAGATGCTGACCATCAAACCACCATATTAGTGTTACAGAACTTAGAATGGCTGACGGGGGGCCACCTCCCAGCTGATTACAAGTGGAACCTTCCTTGCCATCCCATGAGTGGATGGACAGCCCACGTCCAATGCAGGCTCCCTGAAGAGGGCCTTGTCATTCCAATATGAGAGAGCAGAAGCCCAGGCCCTGCCAGAGGTCCCTGTGGTACCCAGGTCCTTCCATAAGAGGCTGTGCCTACTAGCCTGCCCAGTCACCGAGCGAAGAGGGCCACTTGTGGGAGGGGACTGGAAAGGCACACTTGCCAGAAATGCTAAGGCAATGGAGGAGGAAGAAACATTTATGAAGTGATCTCAAACAGCACAGTCAAAAGATGGTAAAAATCTGTACAGAACTGCAAACATTTCTGACAATGTCTTCTCCAGTTTTTGATGAAAAACAAAAATCCCAACAGTCACCAGATAGTGGCCTTTCTTCCCTCCTACCTTTTCCTCTACCTACACCCTCACATTCTTGGGCTCCTGCCTGCTGAAACCACACAAAGCCAATGTGTTGCACTAGCTTAGGCCACTGTATGGGCACGACCAGGCCTGAACTCCAATCCCACAGGCCCATTCTCGCTAACAGTCGGTGGTGGTGGGTCCATGGCCCACGTGACCTACCTAGCCTTTGAATCTTAGAGAAAATCTTAAGATTTTTGTACCTTCCCTTGTATTTCGAGGTCCCAATACAGCTTCTGAATGAAGTCCCTCGAGTCTCAGAAACTGACCACTCTGAAACCCCTTAGTCACATAATTTTAAGATCCTCTTTTCAGAGCATCAGCGAGGATTTTGGAGCTATCCTGGGAACTTGGGAGAATCTGAAGTCACAAAAGGCACAGCTCATTCTCCTTAACTGTGGGGGTTAAGTATGCTCCTACTCCCGCTGGACCAGTGTCACAATGTATCAGAGACATTTCCAGGCCTTGTTCTGGGCCCCAGAATGCTAAGGTCAGGCCTGGCATCCTATGCTATCACCAGCCCACTGGTGACTCTTGGCTTCAGGAACTGCTCCTCAGTCCCAATTTTACTGTTGGATAATAAACTTACTGCAGCCAAAGCCTCTTCCTCACTGGCTCTTGAAGCCATCACTTGGTTGTGATGTCTCACTATGAAAGCAAAATCTTGCACTCCATTTCTACTCTGATACCTCAGCTGTCTGGGAAGCAGGTACCAGTGACTCCCTTGCTGGGAGGCAGTAGGGAGTAATGCAAAGGCCCTCAATGTAAGTGAGACCCAAAATACATCGAACAGACCAGCTCCCAAACCTGACCGCTGGCTCAGGACATGCCTACTCTGGAGACAGGGGGAGTCAGAAGTGAGGTGGGAGTCATGTTCAGACCAGCCCACATCCTTGGGGTTGGCAGGGAAGCTTTGAGGCAGAGACCAAGAAGCCTGGCCTTCCAAACATGGGAGGGTGGTTCTGCCAGGGTTTTGGCAGTGGCAGCTGCTCCCAGAAGACATTTCTCTCTCTGATCAGAAGCTGTTCAAAGTGTCTATTGAAGGAATGAAGAAGGGGTAAGTAACCAGCTGGGTCCTAGTACCTGGAAAATGGGGCAACCCCAAGGTTGTGGGTCTGTCAAGGGTTTTCTTTTAAATGACATCTGGACACGGCTGTGCTACCCGAATCTGGGTTCTACTCCTGGGCAGCCAGTCAGACACTGAGATAGGACTGGCTGCTCCAGGGAAGGACCTTCCCCCCACACGACTGCTTCCTAGCTTAGAGCAGCCAGAAAAACAAGCCAATGGGCAGGTGGGCTGGAGAGATGGCTCAGCGGGTTAAGAACATCTGCTGCTCTTCCAGAGAACCCAAGTGCAGCTCCCAGCACCCACAAAGGGGCTTCACAACTGCCTGCAACTCCAGCTCCAGGCGTTCAGACATCTTATTCTGGCCTCCAAGGTACCTGCAATAATGTGCATACATACCCACATGAACACACACACACACACACACACACACACACACACACACACACACACACACACACACACACAACCACTTAAAAATAAGAGAATAAGAGGTTTAAAAACAAAGACAAAAAACTTCTGCTTCAAGACAGGTGACTGGCAAAGGGATTTCCTCCTTTTAAAGACATTTAGCCAAGTGGAGGTGGTGCACGCCTTTAATCCCAGCACTCGGGAGGCAGAGGTAGGCAACTTTCTGTGAGTTCATAGCTAGACTTGTCTGCAGAATGAGTTCTAGGACAGCCAGGGCTACACAGAGAATCCCTGTCTCAAAAAACAAACAAACAAACAGAAGATGGACATTTCACATGCCTTGCCAGTCTTAAGTTATGAAGACATGCAGTAGGTGGCCGTCCTCTGAGGCTCTTCAAGCACTCACTGACTACCAAAGACACCATGATACCATGTAGCTGAACAAGCCAGGTGGGTCCTCAGTTCTACTTCTGCCTTTGGGTCAGTGATCACAACCCAGGGCCTTTGCTAGGATGCTCTCCCAGGCACATCGACAGAGCAGTCCCCCTCATCCTTTAGCACAGGGGCACCTCCTGAGAGGGGATTCCCTGCTCAGCCCACCTAAAGCGGCACCAGGTACTCCCCATCCCTTTATGGTCCTTCTTTGCGTTGGTCGTTGCCTGGTGCTATACTACACGGTTACTGATTTCTTGCATGTCTTCTCTCCTAGCATGGATGCTCCTGTCTTGACTCTGTTGAATCCCTAGCACTGAGATGCCTGCCTGGAGCAAGTAGGTTCTCAACCAGGATTTGTCAAGTGGGAGATGGTGGGTTGCCCTGATCAAACCTGTCTCTCTGAAGTCCCTATCATAAACTGACAAGCAGACATCCCTCTCCTTGGAATGTGGAGAAGCTGTCGAGGTTCACTCGGCAGAAGCCTTGCTGTGGCTACTTCTGCTGTTGCTGTTGTCGGCAGTACCGTTACTCTTGATAGAGCATGCTAGCAATGATGCTGCTCTCAGGGCTCAGGTACACAGCTCTACCATCATGGCAAACCACGGGGCTGAGGACCAGCAATGCGGGTATTTCCCAGACAAGGCACGATGAGGTTGAGGCAGTGTTGGGTTAGAGACTGTTAGGCAGGTGCTTGGTGGGGTCAGTAAGGAGGAATGAATGTTCTCTGTCACTCAGTGACACAGCCTGTTGACGTTCCCTGACCCAAGCTGCCTTAGTCACTGGGCCCCTAGGCCTAGCTCTTCCTGAACAAAGTCTCTTCAGCCAAGAGTCCTCCCTAGTCCTGACTGTCTGCTGGCACCTGCTGGTCCCTCACCAGAGGCCTTCCTGTGAAGTTTTCCTGGCTCTATGTGCCGACTCTGCTGCTCAGCTGCTGTTGCCAGGGGAGGGCCATGCTGTCCACTTCTGCTAGGAAGGCCGCACTGCCTTTTATCTCTGGCCCTGACACTGAGGCAGGGGAAGGACTTGCCGAAGAGGCTTCTGTTGGCTGCAACACCATCCTAACACAGCATCTGTTCCCACACCCAACTAAGCAGGAGAGTGGCAGGACCCTGTGGGAAGTGGCGATGTGGTCCGAGAGAATGGCGTCTCTCAGGTCTCTTCTTAGGTTCAGGGCATGGTGTTTTCTGAGCACAGTGACTCCTGAGGAAACAGGGCATCTGTGCTCCACTGCCTCAACAGACACAGGGTGGGCCACTTACCCAGGTCAGCATCGGTGCTTTTCTTCATGTCCTTCTGCAAGCGCTTGGTTTGCTCTTCCAGCCTGAAAAGCAAGGAGTAGGTGGGCAGCTAGCCTCACGGCACTGGGGCCCCACTTCTCTGCCGCCCCCTCACCTCTCTGCCACCCCACTTCTCTGCCTCAGGTGAGCCTAGCAGGGGAGGAAGTCGCTCTCTGGCAACACCTATCACAGACCACCTCGCCATCCGAGGCTCTGCAGGGCGCAGACCACCCAGAGCCTGTGCACTAATGACCTTCCTACGGCCTGTCTCCTGTTGGAGCTGTCTTCGGTTTGTAGCTGTGTATGGGCAGAGGGCACACAGGCTCCCTGGCTGAGCCTGACCCGGCCGGGAGGAGATAGGGCAAGTAGACCTGGCAGGAAGCACATGCCCCAGCAATCTCCCATCTCACCCTTCTGGAGTTTGACACTCACTGTTGCAGCTTTCCATACTCCCTCTCAAAATCTCTCTCCACCTGTAAGGAAAGAGAGCTCCATCAATGGGGCAATGACAACATGGTGGAAAAAACCTCCCAGCTTACTGAAACTCGCTCCACACCCTCCCCCCAGCCTGCAGCAACAGCACTGTCCAGTCCATACACGCTCCGGCAGATCATTAACAACAGTGTCCCTGTGTTCCCAAACTAATGAAGTGTTTGACTTAGGGAGAAGGCCTCTCCTCCCAGACAGGCCAACCAGGCAAGCTGGCAAGTCTCAGCGGATTGTGCCTGGCTCTGTCACCCCAGGGTGAGATACTGCTGGTGCCCTTTCCTCATCCCAACTCTGATGGCAGTCAAGGTGATCTGACGTGACGAGACCCCACCTAGGAGTCAACAGAGCACCAAGAAGAGGCGAGTCTGAAGTAGCAGGGTTCTGCCGTGTGCCTGAGCAAGTGACTGCCCTTCTCAGCCACGGGTTTCTCATAGACCCTGCTAATCTGCTGTTGGGTATCTGGTATATCAAAAAAGACCTTATGTGGGTTATCAGGTGGGAGCTTGCTTTAGAATGAAGGGGCCCTACCCCTGAGCCGTCAAGGTGTGCATTTCCAGGGGTGTCCAACCCATGGCCCACATGCAAGGTTAGCTAAGAATGTAGCCTGGCACAGAGTTATGAAACGGTTTGTAATTAAAAAAATTTAGCCAGGTGGTGGTGGCGCACGCTTTTCATCCCAGCACCAGAGAGGCTGAGGCAGGCAGATCTCTGTGAGTGTGAGGCCAGCCTGGTCTGCAAAGCGAGTTTCAGGACAGCCAGGACTGTTACATAGAAAAACCCTGCCTCAAACAAACACATCCCCCAATTTATTATTGCTGACATTACTGTGTTTATGATGTACATGTGAGGCCTACGTAGGCATAGTGTGTCCATGGAGGTCAGAGGACAACTTTTAGGAATTGATTCTCTTTCCACTGTGGGTTCTGTTGATAGGAGGCTGTCAAGCCTACATAGCAAGTGCTTTTACCGAGCCATCATGCTGGCCTGCACTTCAGATGGGGAACAGTGACTTGATTGTGTGGTTTTTGAAAGGGAACTCTGTAGATGGCAATGCCATGTCACAAGATCAAAAGGTTGGATTAGCCTGGTTATTTCTCTAGCATGTGGTGCAGGAAGGCGGTTGAGAGGAGTGAACAGGGGTAAGTGAGAGATAAACTCTGAAATCACTAGCTTCTAGTATCTTTGAGCAGAGTGACTTCAACTTGGTCATTACTCTAGCCTCAGTGGCTCAGTTGCTTGGGGGAAGGTAATACACTGCTAGGTGCCCAGCCCATAGTGTCGATTACAGAATGCACATCCATGTTTTTTTCCTGCTCGCTGGGCATGGGAGGGCCACAGCAGCCTGGAGATGCAGACAGAGATGCAGAGAGCAGCAGCCAAAAGTACTTGGGAAGTGGCAGCCCAGTAAGCCCCACTGTGGCTGAGTATGGAATCTCATGCTGGGCAGTACCACATAGCCGTGCCTTCATAGCCCGAAGGATGTGGCTCCTGAGTGTCTTATTTTTCTTCAGATTAGCATTTACTTCCAAAAGGATAAAATGAAAACTAAGTATTTCTTGGTCAGAATCAAACTCTCCTGGAGACACACCTAGCCGCTTGCTCTTCTGGGGTGGTGGGGGCTGAGCCCCTGTGCTGCTGCTTTTGGCTCCCAGCCGTCTCTTTTGCAATGCCTAAGTGTGCTGATGTGTGGGATGTCAGAGAGCACCTGGTCTGCCTGGATGGGGACTGCTTGGGCTTGTACAAAGAGGCCTTCAAGTTCCCAGCCAGGTGGGATTGTTCAGGGGGAGCAGAGCCTCACAGTCTCTGGGAGCAGAAGGTTGCTGGGGTGGCCACATGCAGATGTCACTCAAAGCCACTCCACAGGAACTTGGAAACACCACCTCTCCAAAGAGCCAGGGTGAGGTTCATGGGTCCCTCTCATCTTTCTCCCCAGAAGACAGAACCACTTGGGGTCAGGCCAGAATTCCAGGCCCTCACATTATGGCTGATAGAATAAAGGGACACACTGGAGTTACATTCCAAGGTGCATGTCTTCTGAGGGAAAAAGCCAAGTGGAAAAGATCTGAACATTTTTGAATGCTTGATGCCTCTGCCAAAAGGCAACTGGAGGCCAGTCAACAATGCAAGTGTAAACACATGTGCATGGACTGTCAGGGGATCGGGCTGGGCCAGGCTGCTGAAGGGTAGCCTAGGGAGAATCAAGCCCCAGATGATGCTCCCCACATTCTCCTGGGCCCAGGGTGCAAGGGCAATGCCTAGGCTAGCCTGCCCAGCAAGAGCTCAGCATTTGCTAAGTGAGTGAACAAGCTGAGTTCCTTCCAAACTCAAATTCCTGGTAAAGGGGAAAAGGAGGCCGCAGGCAGGGCTGGGGCTCTGATGCCAGGGTGAAGGCATGTCGGGTCAAAGTGAGGCAGAGAAAGAATTCTGAGATCCATACAAGGATGTTATGGGTGGACAGCACCTCCCCGTCAATATGCTCCAGGGCTAAGGGGGTTTAGAGAGGATGAAGTCTGAAATCGTCGTACCATTGAAGAGGCTCAGTGTGGCTACTTGTCTTTGCCCTGGTTTTGCTATGTACCTACCTGGCTAGGAACCTTGGCTTGTGTTTTCCTATGGGCACAAGACCTAGGGAACCCTTGCATGGAGGGCATGGGAAACTATCTCCAAGAACTCCCCTGTCCTCTAAGATGGAGTGTGTGTGTGTGTGTGTGTGTGCGCGTGTGTATGTGTGTCTGTAGGTATGTCTTTGGTGTATATGTCTATATGTGGTGTGTGTGCATACATATATGTGGTACTATATGTGTATGCGTGTGTGTGTATCTGTATGTGTGTGGTGTGTATGTGCATGTGTCTGTATGTGATGTGTGTATTTTTGTGTCTGTTATCTTTCTCTATGCTAAGATACTCTGAGGCTCCAGAGGAGACTAACAGAAGTTGGAACAGGAGGTATGAATTGTGGTTCTTGTCACAGTGTTAACGGTCAGTCCTTATAGAGAACACGCCATTCCTGTCACAGCCTCAACAATCACGGAATGCATGTTTGCATGCTGGTAACCTGAACACAGGCAAGCAGTGAGAGCAAGGACAAAGTTTTCTTTGTGGCTGGCAGCTGGGCACCCTGAGCCAAAAACCTCCCGAAACTCACTAAAGATAACATGAACATTTCTTCCCATGACAGGGGTGCTATGACTTTCAATAACTGGGCGGCCACATCTATTCCTATCCCAGAGTGCGTCACCAACGTCCAGGGACGGCTGCCAAAGATTTGGAGACATCTGCACAGCCCAGGCCTGTGCTAGGGGTAGAGAGGTGAGCAAGAACCGATCTAGAAAAAGCAGGGTCTTGCTACCCAGTCCTAAGCACCCCTGGAGCTGAGGGAAATAGTCTGAGCAGATGAAAACTCCATTCTGAGGCATCCCTCAGCTTTCATTGTTGGTGAAAGATCAAAGGCCTAGCCCACAGCTTCACTGCACCGGGGAGTGGAGCTGCTGGGACAGGCTGAATTCTTGATGACTTTGGAGGAAATCAAACCAGCTGCCAGCAAGGGTTCCTCACAGACCAGACCCTTATATGCACTGGCTTGTGTGAGGCTCTTCCTATGCACGTGGCAAAGGTACTGGGAATACCCTTACCTTACACGTGAAAGCTAAGGCGTGACAAGGCTAAGGCATGTGCCAAAAGTCACAGAAAACACAGGGGTAGAGCCAGGCAGGAATCTAGGGAGTCAGTCTCTAGCCTGACTCCTTAACAACTACTGGATACTTGCTCGATTTGGGGGAGGGGACACCAGAGACTAAAGGATGACAGGTCCCCAGCAAGGACACAGGCAGCATAGGGAAGAGACAAGGGAAGCTATGGTGGGGCGGGTCTGTACTTCCTGGGAATCTTTGCTATTCCTCAGAGGAAACGGTCTGGGATCCCCTACCCTGACACACCCACCTCCCGGGAACCATAAACCAAGACAAAGAATTCCTCCTCTTTAGCCCCTCCCCCTGGGAACCAAGGCCCTTCCTCCAACAGACTCTGGCAAGGAGCTGGAAAGAGCATTGTAGCCCATCCTGCTCTGGGGATCAAAGCCCCATCCAAGAAAGATGAAAGTCCTGGTGTAGGGAGGGATTTTTGTCTTCTTGTTTGCAGTGGTGAACAGAGTGGGAATAAAAAAAAAAAAGAGACCCTTTTCAAAACGACTTGTCTTTTGGATCTGCTGGGATTACTCTCTGGAGGCTCACAGCCACGCCCTGCGCTTCTTGGAGCAGCATCTGCTCATCTAGACTTTCATGGAGGGGACACTGAGTCTGCTATAGCCAGCCTTTGCACGAGGCAGAGGGTGACTCTTTTAAGTTGAGCCCAGCTCCTTTTCTGTGACCTAACTTTGGACTTCCCGAAGACAGAGGCATGGGTCAGATGAACTGGACTTCCTGCCAAGCCAAAGAGGGATCTTTCCTTTAGTACTGGTGGCGGAGCAGGGGAGGGAAGGAGGGTGACAAAGAGCTTGGCAGGGGCTCAGATGATGCGTGGGGGTGGGGGTGGGGGGGTGAGGTGGGGTGTGGGAGGGGCACAACACTCTAATGTAAAGATAGTCCTGGACCTTGGCCGTCGTGATGAATATGGCTTTACTCATGCTAAAAACCAAGGCCTTGGGGGCTGGAGAGATGGCTCAGGGGTTAAGAGCACTGGCTGCTCTTCCAGAGGATCCAGGTTCAATACCCAGCACCCACATGACAGCTCACAACTGTCTGTGACTCCAGTTGCAGGGGACCTGACATACTCACACAGACACACATGATGGAAAACACCAATGAACATAAAATAAGTAAAACTTAAAAAGAAAACCAAAGCCCCCCCAAAGCCTTACTTGTGTGTGAGGGGTTGAAGAGGCTACTCTGGATGGATGTGGCTGCATAGCAGGAGTCCACAAAGTATAGATGGAGAAGTGACCAGAGCCATAGACCCAAACTGCAGTTCTTGGGGTGGGGGTGAGGGGTTGGGGAGTTGGGGGTGAGGGGTGGTTCAAATCTAGCAACATCTCCACTGTAGACAGAAAAAGCAGACAGTGGGCCAGATGAGGTCTACTGGCTTCTAGCTCTAATGTTGCAGGATTTGTGACTTTTCCTTTCCCATTTTAGACATAAAACAGGGATAAACATCTTGGGTTCAGAGGTGGGTAGGTGTTAACATTGCACAGAACGACTGGATCCTGGTAGCTACATCAGTCTGTGCAAACAGTGTGGGCCACCTGGAGAAGCTGCCTCGTCTTTTATGTAGTTGAGGTGGCCAGAAAGGCCGGCCTCGGGCACTATCATGGTATGTATATGTGGGGAGTAGTCTATGCTCTAGAGTTCTCCCAGGAATAGGACTGTTCAGATGCAGAGCACTTACACCTGTCCAAAGCTGGGGAAGCAACCAACAGGACCCAGGACAGGAGGCCTCTGGTTCTAGAACCACATGACTGAGAGCAAGATCCAGGGAGCTGACCTTCCAGCTCCCTAATGTGCACGGTCAATGCTTAGGTCCTGGCCTGGGAATTAGCTTACTGACAGAGCACTTGTCTAGTGTGCATGAGTCCTAGTTCACAATCTCCAGAACTGAGAGAGAGAAAACCCAGAAGGGTGAGGTTCCATGCAGAGGTGACATGAGGCACAATCGAATCTCAGGCGTAAGAACTGAGTTACTCACGGTTTTGGGAATAATCTGTTTCTTGGGCTGCCCGATCTTAAACGGAATCCTGTAAGAGGGAGACACAGAGGGATACTGTGAGAAACGGGGAAGGCTGGGCGGCAGGAGAAGGTGCACGGAGTGGATTAACACTTGGTCCCCCAGTCCTCGTGGGAGCATGTAAGCCACTAGTACCCAGTTTGGTTCTGGGAGAGATCATGCTCCATGTAGGCTCTTGGTCACTCCTGCCTGCCAAGAATGTCATTCCTATTAGTGGTCTGTCACTTAAGCACACCACAAAAGTGGGGGAAGGGAGACACCTTGAGGCTCTGCAAATCTTGCTTTGAGAAACTGCTAAGTGAGAACCATGGCTCCCTATAATGGCTATCATTCTTGGAAACATGTTCTTTAAGAAAGCCCACAAACACCCCTCCTCTTCTGGAAGAGGTACTCAGCTTCCCCACAGGGACTACGGCGTATCTTGTAGGGATTCTGGGGATGCCGAGAATGACAAATCCAGGAGCATTTTTAACTGGTTAAAAAACAGACAGGATGAAACGTGGCGGGCTTGGTAAAGACTCTGCCCAAGCCTGCCTTGAACTTGCTAAGAAGCTTGCTTACCAGTTCTCACGTTAATTTGGAAGAAGTTAAGACACAAGGGAGACCATGGGACTGGGACTGGGAAGTGAAGGCGCAGCCCAGCTTCTACTCCAGCAGGCTGCTCTACGCCACTGGCTGCTGCCCTCGCCCTTTCTTGCTCTCTCAGTAGTGAGTGGATCGATTGACGCATTCTTCCAGGTCCTGACAACATGGACCCTGTTAGTCCATGTCAGTGGCCAGGGGAGAACATCAACACTGTTCATCCCAGTGGTGACGGAAATCATAATGTGTCTCTCCTACCTGCCCTGTCCCCAGGCCAGAAGTGAATCTAGGACCAGCTCTGGGAAGAACCCCAAAGACAGCCTCTCAGTACTCTCTCTAGGCTTCGGGGCCCATGGTGCCAATGCTGTTCTGACAACCCTTGGGCTCTGTTCCCATCCTTCCTTTTAGTCATTCTCCCGCACTCGCCTCCACCTGGCCCAAGTTGACCAACACTGCTGCTAACCCCAACGGTATAATTAACCACCGATAATAACCCCCAGACAGCGATCTGGTTGAGGGGATGGGCTGGCCTGAGTCATGGTGGTTTAAATTTAATTTCTGGAGGACATCCTGTTTATTGTTAACCCAGCCCCATAATTTGGAGAGTTAACCCTTTGGGGTCTGGCTGAAAGCAACGTGTCTTGGGCTGTGTCATAGTCAGATGGGAAGAGGTTTGTTGTGGAACTGAAAACTGGTGGGGGTAGGGGGAGGGATGGGGGCTGAGGGTGTCATTTCAGTTTCTCAGACCTAAAGAGGAAAGAGCTCAGGTGGAGCTGGGTTTTGTGTCCCAGTCGCCATCACTTTCCCTAAGACTGGGAACTGGAGTTGATGGCTGAGGAACAAGTTCCCCCGAGGACTACTCTGGAGGCCACACACACTCGGGTTCTGTGGGAAAGAAGCTGCAATGAGACAAGCGATAACCAGGAAGGAGACGCAGGCTCTGCCATTGAACAGACAAGTCTCTCTGAAACCAGCTGGACTAGATGGCCCTCTTGCTTACCGACAAGGCAGCTATACCCCAAGAATGTGGGGGAGTGGGCTAAGGATCCTGAAGAACCCTCAGACTGGCCCCCACTGGCATGACAGACCTCAGCCAGAGAAGCTAAGAGTTGGTGGCTGTCATCTGCAAGGCCACGGCCTCTCTAACGCTCACCTTGGAACCACAGGCCTTTTAGCGCAGGATGCATCAGAAGGGTTTTTCCCCCTTTCACCCTCTCATGCTGCCAGAGGAAACGGATCTTGGAAGGTTCAATGACAGGTCTAGCGTCCTTGTATTGCTTTACCAGGGCCCGAGCTTCTCTCTGCTGCTCACAGTTCAGTGTTCTCTTCAGGACTGTTCTAGGTACTCATGCCCAGAGTCTCAAAGTCTGTGGGATCAGTTGGGGCTGATGGCTCCTAAGAGGCTGAAAATGCAGGAGAGCCTGTGTGGAGCCAGGTGTTTTAACACAAAGGGTTTATTCACAGATGAGCCAGTCTCCTCTGCAGTTACTGATGGTCAGACACGATTTCATCAGACTATTCGCGTTATTTTTCGACTTCCTAGCTCCAAAGACACGTCCACCTGCTACGACACCTTTATGTAAACATTTTATTCTGTATTTTCAGAAAAATTGTGAAGTATCATAATTACTACGCCCCCTGCCCTGTTCTCCCTTGCGAACGTCTTCTATCAGTATGGTACATTAGTCATGATTAATGAACCCGGAATGGCATATCAAAGTCTGTGCTTTGTTTAGTTACCTTAGTTTCTCCTTAATGCCCTTCCAGAACTAGGATCCCATGCGGGTTACCACACTACATTACGCCTTAACTGCCTCTTGGTGTGACAATGTCTACACTCCCCTTGGTTTTGATGCCCCCCTATTAAGGGGCACTGGTCAGTCATTTTATAGCTGGAATGGCTCCCCCACACCCGTTGGGTTTTGGGGACTGGAGAGATGGCTCGGTGGGTTAAGAGTACTGATGGCTCTTTCAAAGAACTGAATTCGTTTCCCACCACCCACATGGGGCAGCTTACTGCCACCTACAATTCCAGCTCTGGGGATCTGATGCCTTCCTCTGGCCCTGGCAGGCACCCACACACATGTGCCATACAAACACATAACATAAATGAAAACAAATCTCTAAAAAAGGAGAGAGCCATAATTGTCACATCTCCTCACAGACACACTGCAGACATGATACCCCTGCTGCCCCCGACTGAGCCACAGGCTGAGGAAGGAAGGAAGGACTTCAAAGGTCCTCCCACTATGGTCTCCCAGCCCCCTCCTTTCCACTAGGGAGCCACTATTTATTTTACTCATCTATTCAGCATGGCCTCGTGGATATTTTATACTCGGGGTCATAATCCAGCACTGCTTTCTTTTGATAGTAAGAGCTGCTTCAGTCTGGCCACCGACAGCTTTGCAGTTGGTTCCTGTGACCCTCTGACATATTCCCATCAGTGTGAGCACATGCCTGAGTCATGTGGTGCTTCCTCTAAACACACGAGAACTCTGGCTCATCTTGTACCTTTCCTGCTCTGGGCCCTGGCTTGGAGGAGAAACTTCAATCCCAATGTGCCCGACAATGCACTCTAGGCTTTTCTTTGTTGTTCTTTCCTATGCAGCCAACACATGGCTGTTTCTTAGTTTCTCTGAATCTATACTCCTTATTTCCTATCCCAAACTGGGAATTACGTTGTCAGGATCACTTGGATCATAAGGGAAATGGGCATATGGCCACACCACTGAGCATTCCCACCTCCTGGCTAACGATGAGGAGCTCTTAAATCTAGAGCTTTGCTTACTTAGAAAGGTTCACTGAAAATCCAAGGAAGGATGAGAGAGAAGAAGATTCCTTGCCGGCATCATCTCCATCTTTATGACCAGTGTTTCAGTGGTGATATATATATATATATATATATATACACACACACACATATATATATACACATATATATTAGTTTATATATATATATATATATATATATATATATATGGCTGAAAGAAAAACAGCTGAGGCAAATAACAAGTGCTGGCAGCCTCAGTCCTTGTTATGAGAACGTGGCTACTGTTTTCTTCTTTGTGCTTGCTGTAATTCTTCAAATAAGGGAGAATTAAGAAAAGAAAAAAAAAGAGCAACCAAACAACAGCAACCAAAAACCCCAAACACCAGCCCTTTAGTTTTTTTCTTAACTACAAAAATAGCACCTGATTAGTATCAGAAACTTGGAAGACATGGAAAAATACAAATGATGAGGAACACCTGAATTCACTACAAAGGCCAAACCAGGCAGCAAGATGCTGAATTACTATATGGACACACATCTGCACAGACATGCATATGTATATATGTTATGTAGTGCTTCTTTTAACTGTCTATGTACATATGTACATATGCATGTGCACTGATATAACCTTTTAAATAAAGGAAGTATGTAGCATGAACATACTACTAGATTTTTAAATACTAGTTTTTAAATCTAGTATTTAAAAATCATCAGGTTAGTAGCAAAGTAATGGGTTTCATTACAGCATCTTCATACATCTGTGACAAAATACTTAGGTTTCATTTGCTCACCCCCACTGTGCCCTCACCTAGTCAGTCTTTCCTTCAGCGATCCTGTTAGGTGGGCTCCAGCACCCCATTCACTCTCCCCACTTCCCTTATCGCCTTTCTCTTCCATGATCCCTTTCTAATTTTGTGATACTTACACATACACTCATCCTTTCAAATTTAGTTTCTGCACGAGGAAAAACACACATGGAATTTGTCTTTTGGAGACTGGCTTATTTTCCTTAACATAATGACTTCCAGTTGCAACTTTTTTTTTGCCTGCAAATGTCATGATTTCATTTTTCTTCATGGCTGCAAAAATTCCTTTGTGTATATATCCCACATTTTCATTATCCATTTATTTGTTGGTAGAATCACAGGTTGGTTGCATTTCCTGGGTTTTGTGACTAGGACAGCTATTTACACGGGTGTGCAGGCATCACTTTTGTACAGTGACCCAAGAGGGGGGTAGCTGGCTCGGGTGTGGTAGTTCTAGTTTCAGTTTTTTGTGGAGCCTCCATACTGACTTCCACAAGCTTACACTCTCACCAGCATTTACTATAATTGGTTTTCATGTAAAATGCCAATATAGTTTTCATCATCGGTTGCATTTAATTAATTATTATGGATATGTGCACGTGTGGAGGTCAGAGGAAAACTTGCCAAAGTTCTCTTTCTACTGTGTGGGTCCCAGGGACTGAACTTAGGTTGTCTGGTATAGAGGCTAAGAGCCTGTGCCTGCTGAGCCATGTGAGCAGTGCTTTCAGTCAGGGTTTCTCTACTCTCCCGGTATGACCCTCTTGTCGAATTCTTTGGGGCTGGGATTACAGGCAAATGTCACATACCTGGTCAAAATTTCTTTGAATTTCAAAGGGACTACTTTTTTGTCTTCTAATGTCCCAGTATGAAGTCTCCATGAAGCCTGAAGCCACCCTGATTTCTACGCTTGTTATATGGTCCGTTTTTCATTTCTTTAAGCAAGTCCAAAGGATGGTAGGTTTGTCTTGGTGTTTCATCACAGTGTACCTCCTGCTTGTTTTCATCCACCGCGTTGGCTTCTCACTGCGCAGTCTCAGTTTGGCAATCTCTAAGACTTGATCGGCTCGATTCCCCTGCACATTATGTTTCCTTCTGACCTCTGTGGATGCAACTTGCAGCTGATCTACCACTCTTGGTCTCTGATTTTTTTGCTTTTCAACCTTTTTTGTTTTAATTTTATCCTCCTTCCTCTCCCTCCTCCTCCTTCTCTTCTTTTTCTTCCTCCTCTTCCTCCCCCTCCTTCTTCTTCAGTTTTGGTTTTAGACAGGGTTTCTCTGTGTAACAGTCCTGGCTGTTCTGGAACTTGCTTTGTAGACCAGCCTGGCCTTGACTCACAGAGATCTATATCTTCCTCTGCCTCCTGACTGCTGGAATTAAAGGCGTAGTGTGGTTTAATTTTATCTTCTAATACCTGTAGAGAATTGTCTGCATTTTTTTTCTTTTTGCTATCAGGTTTTTCTTAAATTTCACGACTTTAATCCCAATGAGATGGTTTTAATTTAGTGAATTTTGCAAAAGAAATTCAACAGTTAACAATAACTTAAAAAGTGCCTAGTCACTAATACCTCAATGCACTACAGGCTGAGGCTGAAGCCTGGTTTTTTCTTGACTGGTGCATCTTTTGATTCAGAGTTTGACTTTCTGGACTGTCCTTTGTGGTTCACTGATTCCCAGCTGGTTCCTCTCTGGGGATTGTAATGACAGCTTAAAGTTCTTCCTTTCCAGTCTTTATGCCTTGGCTTAAAAGCATTGGCTTAAAATGCTTTCCTTGGATGTCTCACATATATGACTTGGGAACAAAAGAAAACTCTGGCACACAAGGCATTGGTTGATCATGTAGAACAGTGGTTCTCAACCTTTCTAATGCTGAGCCCCTTTAATATAGTTCCTCGTGTTATGGTGACTCCCACTTTAAATTATTTCATGTAAATATCTGATATGTAGGCTATTTGACATGAAGAATAACCGTGTAGCTTGATACACCTTTGTATTTTTATTCCTACTGTTTTGGCTACATGGTCTTTGTCTTTTCACATAAGAATCAGTATCACTTCCTCAAAGGAAAAAGAGAATTCAGTTTTTTCTCTAGTAGAGCTGATTGACATTTGTTTCCTACTACTTACAATTTAGGAAGAAATCATGTTTCCCCGCTAACTGGCAACACATAAATATAAATTTTAAGACTTATGTAAAATTTAGGAAAATCTCATTATTTCTTTTATAAATAAGCTAAGATTTCAGGGCACAGTTCAAGATTTATTATACCATATTAATCTGAGTGCTCTCTGAGTTAGTGACAGTAACTATTTTGTCACTGATATCCTTGTAGGTGACATGTCATGAGTTGTTATCTTTGTTGCGTCTTTCACATTAAACCCACCAGAAATTCCTGTCTTATCGACGTGTTCATGTAAATTGCTCCTGTTCATGAAATGGATTCTCAAACAATTATCGTTAATATTTAAAGCTGACTTTGTCTCCTTACTGATGACTAGTATTGGGTACGAACTGAAAATACTTTGTTATAGTGTTTGATTTCCATTGATGTAATTGCTCACCTTACCTTTATCATACTCATTTTTAAATCCAATTTCCCCTCACTTTTTGTAATGCTGGGAATTGAACCCAAGCTTACCAGGCAAGCATTCTACCAGTGAGCTATGATCCTCAGTTTCTCCTTTAATTTAAAAATAAATCCACAGGTGATTTAAAAGGTACTTTTTGTATAAGTCAGAGCTAGTCATTTCTCATTTGTTTTATTAAAAATGTCCCAAACTGCCTTTACAAATGGCGGGTAAAACATTATAACCTCATCTCCCAGTCCCAC